TGGTTTTTCCAGTTTTATAAGTTGTAAAGCGCACATTTCAACATTAGTTTTAATGTCTATAAAAGGGATTTTCTTCTGTAGTGGCACAAACTTTGGACCTAGAGTTAAGAGTTCAGTTGTTGCTTTATCCAGAATAAGTTAATTTAAGTAGAGTAGGTTTAACAACTTGATTAGGAGGATCTATTTTAGGAGTATTTTTTTATATTTGATGTAGTTAGTAATTTATAATATTTTCCTTTTATTTTAATTTTTATCATAATATAATGGTAATTTTTAGATTTGTTTACTATAAGCTAATTAATGGTTACATTTTGGTTGACAATAGATTATTTAATTTTGTGGATTTACTCTCCCGTGTTTATTAGAAGGGGTGGTGGGAATAAATAGGAGGCTGGGAATTTAAGTCCAGTTATAATAAATGTGAGAGGAGGAGGGTCTTAATAAAAGGGTGGGTGGGTATTTTTTATTAAATCTAATTTTAATTTATCATGGATCTATGATCAAAACCTCGTAATACAAATTTAACAGTACATAAAACAATTTTATTAGAGTGTGACTTGTAAAAAGCGTATATTTTAACAGCTGTTTTATATTAATTTCAATAGGATTTAATATGTTTTATACTATATGTTTATACAAGTTTTATTATTTTCTACTATATGTTTATACAAGTTTTATTATTTTATACTATATGTTTATACAGGTTTTATACTACAATGAGGAATAAATTTCGAGGCGAAAGTTCATCGACAAAATGTTTTTTATGCTAAAGTTGTTTATAATAAACTAAATGTCCATGAATTCCGACAAAATAAATATGAAAGCACAGAAAATGTAATACCTCGCAATAAATATTCTATTAATATATCTTGTAAGTTTAGGTCAACAATTGTTATGATACATCTTGTGGATTTAATTTGGTATTTGTTCTAGGATATTTTGTAGAATTAGGTCGGCATATGCTCAAATATATTCTGTGGATTTAGGTTGGTAATTGCCTTAATATACTTTATGCATTAAGCTAGAAAATTGTTTCAATTGACTTTATGTACTTAGGTTGGCATGTCTTGATACATCTTTTGATTTAGTTGACAATTGATCTATTATATTTTATCAATTAAGATCAGGAATTGTTTTAATACACTTTGTAGATTTAGGTCAACAAATTTTTAAAAATAGTTTGTGAATTTAGGTCGGTAAATGTTTTAATATATTTTGTAGATTAAGGTTGCTAATTGTTTTAATTTATTTAATGGATGTAGGTCACCAATTGATCTAATATATCTTATGGATTTAGGATTTGTATTAAAATATCTGAGAATAAAAAGAAAGTTTGTAAGATAATTTATCTAAGAAAAAGAAAATCTTAGAGAAAAAGAAAAAATCTAAGCTCAAAAAACTAAATTTTATTATTCATATTAAAACGCTGCAATTAGTTTTTAATTTAAAAATTTATAAAATGTTACAATTAGTTAAAGGGTCGTCCATAAAGTACGTACGCACATAGAGGGGAGGGGGGAGGTCTTCAAAAAGCATACGAAAGCATATGGGGGAGGGGGGAAGAGAGAGAGGTTCAATTTAAAAGTATGTACTTCAATTTTCTAATTTTACGCAATTAACCAGCTAGTCAATAGAAAAATTAAAATTCTGACTAAAGATCCTAGTTTGCCAACATAAAAAGATGTATTGTATAGGGAGTAGAAGGTATAGTTTCTCTCTATACACACACATGCATGGGCGCCCGCAGGATTTTTTGATGTTCTAGATAAACCACTTCCACACATTGTGCAAATTTCAACTTAAGTATGTTTATACCTATGCCATTTAAAGAGCAGTGCAAAAAATTGTTATGGCGGTAGCCTGGCAACAAAAAAGCCCTCAAATGCTTGCATCCCGTCCCCTCCCCAAATGTGAGGGCACTGATGTACTAAAATTTTCAGACACCCTCCCCCCCAAAAAAAAATAAACGAGGGGCTATACATTTTGCATCAACATAACTTTTATAATTTACAATATTTTTCAACAAAGTTTAAATTCTGTCGATAAATTTTAATTTAGTTTTATATCGTTAAGTTAAACATTTTACTACGTGCCCTCACGTTTGAGCAGGAGGGCAAGCGTTTCAGGGCTATTTGTTCACAGGTCTCCGCCATCCCAATTTTTTACAAGGTCTCCTCATTTGGCATAGGTATAAACATACTTAAGTTTGGAGTTTGCACAATGTGTGAAAGTGTCCTATCTGGAACATCAAAAAATCTTGCAGGCGCCCATGCCACCCCTTATATACTGGCCCTGAGTATACTCAGGGCCAGTATATAAGAAGTGGCATGTGGGCATGCATGTGCGAAAAATAGGTTGCCTATTTTTTAAGTCAACAAAAAACAGGTTTTAGCAGTGCAATGGCTAATGGGTCGAAGACCACCTCCTCTCAAAAAAAAAAACTTGTCATTAGGGTCTCAAAATCTTCTAAATTTTACCGCTAGGTTTCGCTAAAATAAAATAGCAAAAGGGCACAAAATTTGCTGCTCCCCTACAACACCCCACCACCTCTAATTACTGGGTATGGTTAGCCTACACTCGGCACTGGGTTTTAAGCTTTGTCTTCAATATTACTCTTCTCGCTTAAGACTCGTTTTTTACAAACTTACTAAAGAGGGGTGCCTGAAAAAAACGTCTGCATTAAGTATAGTTTATTTTATTTGATACATCTCATCAAACAAAAAAGAAAAAATAGGACTTAACCCGGAATCAAATTTGGTTCTCCGCTGTCACTGCCCATAACATTAACCACTTGACCAAGCGAACTCTTTGTTTTTGCATGATTTAATCTTATTTAAATTAATATTTGTATATATATTTGATGACGTTTTTTAAATTGGGATCATTTGCCGGTAACAAAAGGCTTTGGGGTCGTATAAATACTTTATACGTTTTTCACCCCCTGCCTATTTTATTATTATTTTTTTAATATAAAAATTTATTGAAATAAAAAAGGTGGAGGAGGTGCCCTAGATTATCTAGGGTACCTCCTCCACCTTTTTTTTTTTCAATTTGGGGGAGGGGTATATGAAAAATGTACGTACTTTTTAATAGAGGTGGAAATTTAAAAGTACGCATGGTAACAGGGGGAGGGGGTGTCAAATTTCAGAATTTTTGGCGTATGTACTTTATGGACGACCCCTAATGATTTAAATTAATAGCTCAGTATTAATTTTATTTTTTGTCCAATACCTTTTATCAATTTCAAACATGTATTTTAGCATTTAAAACCCCTTTTAAATTTGTTTAAAAAAATTTTTAACGTACTAGTTATTTTAATGCTTATAGAAACCAGTACATTACACTATTAAATTTGAGTTGTTACATAATGTTTGTTTTTGTGCTAAAAATTTTCGCTATTAAAAGTGTTTATAAAATTAATCCTAGAAAAAGTTTGAAAAGATTTATAAAAAATTACATATTTATATAAATGTGATTACGTATAATATTCTTTGATAATTTAAATAAAATGGGTTTATTGTAAACCTTTTAATTAAATTGTTACTTTATTTAATAAAGTAGTCAGCAAACTTAATAACTTATGTATTTAATATATTTACATCGGGATTATATGTATTTAATAATTTTGTATTTTTATTATACATTTTTATTACATATTTAATTATGCATTTAATAATTACATAATTTATGTATTTAATATATTTACGTAATAATTTATGTATTTAACAATTTACAAAGCATTTCGCATAGTATAGTAATTTTGAAAAAACGTAATATAAATATATTTTCCTTTTCAAATTTTAGTTTTTTGAGCTTAGATTTTTTCTTTTTCTCTAAGATTTTCTTATTGCTAGATAATTTATCATAAAAATTTTCTTTTCATTTTCAGCACATTTTGAAACGCCTAGAGTTGTCAAAACAAATTGCATGGCCAAGTTGTAAAAACAAAATATTTTATGCATGATCAGGAATGGCGTTTTATCGGACATGTTATAAATATATATTATCAAACATAATATAAATATATATTAGGGTGACCATAAAAACAACTTTTTTTGAATGTTTTTGCACCCATCCCCTTAATGTGTTTCATATAATAAAATAATACAAGATTTAAAACCTTTTGATAAAAAGTATTTTAAGTTGTGGCACAAGACCCTAAATACATGAATAAGTTGTGGCACAAGACCCTAAAATAGGCCTTATTATATACTATTATCAAAAAAAAGTTTCTTAAAAGTGTATCATATTAGGTCTCAAAAAAAGTAAAATTATATAAATATTTGTCAATAATAATCATTATTTTATAAACTTAATTATACTCAAATTTACATTAACTTGTTTTAATTGTTATACATATGAAAAATTGTGACAACCAACCCCATTTTAAGAAAAGGGGTTGATTGTAACACAGAAGAGGTATTTGAGAAATAATTTTACAGCAAAATATATTTAATTAAATATCATGAAAAGTAATATAGGTACTAGAAGTAGTTAAGCTTTTAATTTAATGAAAAATAAAACATAAGTAGTACAAAATGTAAAAATTGTGACAACCAACTCCACTCTCCCTGACACATATTGTTATAATATACAATTATTATATATATTATAATATACAATTACAATTATTTACAAGAAAAAAAAATCAACATTTGATAATAAATGTTTACTGAAAAAAAAAGCAACTATAATTCATTTAACGCTTAATCTAAAATCTTTAATAAATAATTAATAATTTTTAAATTATGATGATTTTTTTACTACATTATGATAATAAAAAAAGTAAGTTTCATAAAATAATAATTTTTAGAAATTTTTACAGAAATTCATTTTATATTAACTTATCCTATTATCTGCTAAATATTTATCACATTTAAATGTGTGGATGCAAGCAATAGCTTGCGTTTGTCAACCAACAGTAACTACAATAGTAAAACATAAATATATGAGTAAAAAACTTAATTTAGAATAAATAAATGAATAAAAGTAATTAAAACCTTCTCAAGATAATCACCCCAAGAGCTTTTTTGATATAGAGATATAGTAATATGTAATGAATGGGAATCTTCAAGTGTGGAAGCTTGATGAATAACACCTCTTGGAAAATAAAGAGTATCTCCAGCTTCTAGAACTTTATTTAGTATTGGTTCACCTAAATTTTCTTCTTGCATGTTTTCTAAAAAAGTTTTAAGAAAACATTAAAACAAACAAGATCCATGCTATCAGGTCCAAATTATAATTTTAAACTAAAAACTTCAGTTTACATAAAACTTCAGTTTACTTAAAACTCTACAATGTTGTACAAGCATTATCTTACATATGTAAGAAACTTATTATGGCAAAAAAAAAAAAAACTTGAAAATATAAATACATATAAATAGCTAAATATTTATCCTTCTGTCCACAAACAATTTTTTTCAACATCTAAAATGCTTCAGCACATAAATTTAATAGGAATTAAAAGTAATCAAAAATGCTTTTAAATTCAATGCACAAAAGAATTGCATTTTGGAAGAAAATTCTTTTAAACAAAAACACTTTTTCTTTCTTAACACAAAAAATGTAAGCTTTTTTGTCAGTTACATAAATTTTTATCTATGATGAAGAGACTTATATTTTAACACATTAACTTAGGGGTTTCCCTTGCTGACCTGATGACCTGATATTTTTGTCAGTTTTTTTATACAAATCTTTTCATTTAACATTTTTGAGAGGAAAAAAAAAGATTGCTTAAACTTGAGGTTAATTGAATAAATTAGTAATTTCCTCTACGTTTCTTTAAATATATATATATATATTTTATACATATATATTTTATACATATATATATTATATATATTATACATATATATATACATATATATTATACATATATATATTATATATATATATATATATATATATATATATATATATATATATATATATATATATATATATATATATATATATATATATATATATATAACTTGAAAAATGATATTTAACCAATATAAAGCAAAAGATAGGCAAGCTAGTAAACAAAAGCAAATCTTTTTTTCTCAAAATACTTATTATTAAAAAAAAAATTATTTTCCAAAAAATACACTAATACAAAGTATTTTTATATAACTAATTAAATAATCTTTAGGCACAAATAAAATTTAATAAGTAATTTGAACTTTAAGGCAGGGTCCAGGGTTTTTTTCTTTTTTTCTTAGATGATTATTAATTAAGAAAAAACATAACTTTGAATAAAAAAAAACACAAAAACTTTTCTGAAATTAAATAACTCAAGTAATCAAAATATTACTTAAAAATAAGTGCAATAAATTTTAAACACAACTTCTTTTAATCGAAATATATTAATACAGAATATGACCCCCATTGTTTTTAATACATGCTTGTATTCACTTTGGCAATGATTCAATTAAGTTTTTAATCATCTTGATTGGTATTTCAAGCTAGAGTTTGGTGAGTTCTGAATGTTTGAACATTTCGTGACTAGTTATTTGCTTTTTTGTTAGTTGATAATCCATCCAGCTCCATAAATTTTTGATCAGGTTAAAGTCTGGTGATCGATGCTGGCCAAGGCATGAATCAAATAAAAACTAAAACTTCCTTTTAAGGAAATAATTAGAGATTAAATATGCTGTATGGTATGATTGTCTTGTTGAAATTTGTTTTGATCAGCCTAGATCAATGTAGTTTCACATCAAAATTGACTTGTAAGTTAAGCATTAAAACGCCTTATCTTTTCTAATGCAATTCAACATAATTTAAATACAATCATATTCTCTTGGTATTTACAACTATGACTTAATATTACATTTTTATTATATATACAACTATTTACAATTAATGCAAATCGATGGTTAACAATCATATAATATAATTACACTTTACACTTCCCCTTGGTCAAATGACCATCTCAAGGACTAAAACGCTCAGGGGCTCTCCTTTCTTGTGTGTTTCTATGTAACACTGGCGTCTTATTTGTTTTTTCTCCAGACAGCACAACATAATTTTTCATAATCTTCTGAACCCTCATTTAAATCATTGTCACCTCTTTCTTGTCCAAGATCTTAAATTCGAATCGTTGTCAACTCTTACTTGTCTTAGTCTTACTTTGTCTGTATATGTTGACACATTTTGTTCACTTCTACCGTTTGCTCCGAGATTATCCCTGTAATTATTCCAATCTTATATTGAGAGTCGCATCGGCTATCCGGGGGTTTAACCCATACTCTATCGCCAAGTTTGAATTTATTGGTTATCTTCCTGCAAGGGACATGTGCACTCTTGGATAAGCGCATTTGTGACTAGGGATAAGCGCATTTTCCAAAATTTCACAATACTCATGCTGGTTTAATCTTATTTTTATATTTTATGACACCCAACGCCTGAGCCTGATATACATCCCCATATGTCGACGGAACCACCACCTTTTTGAATAGGACTTAGTAGGTGTTGCTTCAAATATTTTTCCGTATTTTTGCAACAAACAAATCTCTTGTTTTTTCTGTTAATAATTTCAAAATTTGATTCATCATCAAACTTCATAACTAAAGATAATAATTTTCCATTGTTCCACTGAATAATTTAAACGCTCTTTGTACCATTTTTTTCATCTTTGGCGATCAGTTAACGCCAACAAAGGCTTTCTTACACATGAAACAAATTTAGTTCTTTCTAGCATGATAACTTACTTATTGTCATTCAACTAACAGTTTTGTCTACCAGCGAACTATTGATTTCTGCACTTAAAGTTGATACTCCCGCTTTTGGGTTACATCATGTAAAGCATGTTTTCATTGCATGCTGTCAGTTTTTTCGGTAGAATAGAGTAACATTGACACATCTTTAGAAAAAAATTTTTTCTTAAGCTATGACTAAATTTGGTATGCAATTTTTCTATGTGTTTACCAATGATAATGCTGTCATAAACTGATGAAGAATTTGATTAGTTATCTAATATTATTGATATATAATTAATTTTTTTTGGGGGGTTTAACTGTCAGTGTTACCCCTATATAGGGTAACATTGACAGTAGTATGTTTTATGCTGCAAATGTTAAAATTAGAGAAAAATAGAAAAAACAATTTTAATATATATTAGTACCAACCTAAATTTTCGTTAGCAGCATAAAAAAGTTGTAAAATTGCAATGAATGTTAATTAATTGCAATGTAATGTTATATTTTTTTTGAAAGATATTAATTAGCTTCAGTTCTGATAGTGTCTACTTAAAAATATAAAAAAGTATGTTAATTTTTAAAATGATTAAAAAATTTTTCTCTAAGAATTGTCAAACTATTAAGCTTTAAATCACATTAATGCCTCGATTATTACAAAATCTAAATCACATTAATGCCTCGATTATTACAAAATCTAAATCACATTAATGCCTCGATTATGACTAAATATGATTTAATTAATATATAATTGAATTAATATCTGATTATGACAAAATCCCGCAGCGCTGTAGTTTTTTGTTGGATTTCTTTGTTTCAAATTTTTTAGTGTTTGGTTTAATTTCAGAAAGAAGATGATTTTTTACATTTTCAGGTTTTGATGTTTTGTCCTTATCATAATTATGGAACATTGTTAGGTGTGGATTTTAACTTTTTGCAAGTGTCAGTTTTTAGATCTGTTGACATTTGATGTTTGTACATTTTTTTTTTTTTTTTAAGAGTTACTATTAATTGAGAGTTTGCTTTGTTTGATTTCATTTCATGTAATTGTGAAAGATTTTTCAAAATTGTCACCAACTTTTGCTTGATTCTTGGTCCATGGGTGACTTAAGCATTCCTGTCAATGTTATCCCAAAACTAAAATATAGATTTAAAAAAAAATGCTACAAAAATTCTTTAAATGTTTAGTATTTAGAAACAACATAAAAAAAAAACATGTAAAATTCCGGGCAAAAAAAAAAAAAATATATATATATATATATATACATATATATATATATATATATATATATATATATATATATATATATATATATATATATATATATATATATATATATATATATATATATATATATATATATATATATATATATATATATATAGAGCATTTCTAAAAAATCACGCACGGAAACTCGTATATGTTTTTACTTTTATTTTCATAAAAATAAAACTAGCGATCTCCAATTTACTCTCATTTAATTCTAATCAATATAAATATTTTGTAAACAAAAAATAGTAAGAATTAGTAATGTTAACAAAGAATAAATAAAAATAAAATAGGAACAGAACAAAATAAAAAGGAACAGAAAAACTTCTATTTTAGTTACTAGATAAATAAACTTTAATTCCTCTGACAATATAAGTTTCACCGGTATACTTTTTTTTTTAAATAATATTTTAAACATTAGTAAAGATTTCCAGAGAGCTACAGGATTGCACTATGAATCATAGAGTCACAGCAATCATTTAAATGCAGTTTATGAATGATCACGCATCAAAATAGTATGCATATTGCATATAGTCCCAGCTTTTAATTGCTAAAACAAAGAAAAATAAAAAATCACGCACAGAAATTGAAATGCCCTATATATATATATATATATATATATATATATATATATATATATATATATATATATATATATATATATATATATTTATATATATATATAAACACACACACACACACACACACATATTTAAAAACATAAGACTTTTAAAATCATAAAATGCTGTTCTTAGAAAAACTCCACAAAAATGTTGTTACTTGGTATTTTATTCATTATAATTAACAAATGTTGATTACATTAATATCAAACAGTGTTACTAAATGATTGTTTAGAAAATAATTTTTAGAAAATAATAAAAATTAGTTGATCAAAATTTAAAATAAAGAAGTATTATATGATAAGCAATAAGATAAAAACTTTATTTGCAATACTAAAATTTAAAATCAAGTGAAAAGACTAAGGTTTTTACAACCAATTTAAAGTGGAAACATCAATAATTAAGTGGAAATAACACTCGACTGCACATAAAATAATATTAAGCCTTTAACAGAATTTTCTCTTTCAGCTAATTCATATAATAAATTCATATAAAAAACTGACAAAAATATCAGGTCAGCAAGGGTAATTCCTAATTTGATTTTTTTTCTTATTTTACAAAAAGATTAAAAAACTTAATTACAAATAATCAAGATTTCTAAAATTTGTATTAAACTGTTGAATGAACAAAAAAGCTTATCAAAAAGAGCAGCAAATAAATATAATAATTAATTTAGTAAATTTCACTTAAACAATCAATTTGAATTGAAAATTGAAAATTAGAACAATATTTTAATGGTTATTAGAGTATTGCTATTAATGTTATATTTAACAGTGTTAAATATAACAGCAATATTGATAATAAATATGGTATAAAACGTGGTATCACGTTTTATAGTGTGCGTGTGTGTTGCCATTATTTTCAACGCTGAAACATACATACCTATGTCAGTATGTATGTCAGTATGTTAGTATGTATGTATGTATATATATGTATGTGTAGGATATATATATATATATATATATATATATATATATATATATATATATATATATATATATATATATATATATATATATATATATATATATATATATTTATAATTAGTAAAAAAACACTAATCTAACTGGAGCTACTACTGTCAGTTTTTCATTCAGCAAGATCATTAGGAAAATTCCCGAACAGTAGAAGCTCAGGTTAGATAAGTGTACTTTAATTAATTTATTACTGCTCTGTTCTATAAAAAACATTAGATACTCCTTTTTGCAAAATAAATTAAAATATTTGACATAATTGAAATGTTTCATACCACTAGAATAACGAGCTAAAACTTCATTTGTGTTTCTAAATATAAAATTAAAAACTTTAAAAATCCAAAAAATATTTCAACTCTTGTTTAACTTTTAACTATATTTTTCTACTTTAACTTTTCATTTTATATTTTATTTCGCTTTACTTTTATATACTTGTCAAATCAAACAGTTGGGTTTATAGCTGCAAAATGTTTTGAGATATCACCACATCAAAGAGTTTTCTTTTTTTAAATCTATTTCATTCCCAACAAGGCACAGTGGGCCAAAATCATTATTAGCTGGACAAAATTAATAACTTTTAAAATATTTATTAGGTTTTTTCCCATAATTAGCAGCTTGAGTATATTTCATATAAAAAATCTAATGGCACCATTAGATTGTTTATTTGGTTGCCATGGATACCTATATTTCATATCAACAGGCATTTTGCATAGTTACCTAAATAAAAAGACTTTCTCAAAATATCAAAGTTATAAACTAAACTGATATTAATGCTACATTGCTATTTTATGTATTTGAATGATAACACAAACAAAAAATTATCAATTTTTGGTGTTATTATGCTGGGCTCTTAGAAACCAGTTGGTATGGCTCTTAAAAACCAGTTGGTATATGGGCTCTTAGAAACCAGTTGGTAATTTTTTTTGAAACTTTTTCTTAATTCAAAATTTCTTTAAAAAATGAAATAAACTTTTAAAACACTCTTAACTATAAGGGTTTACAGGAACAGTTAATTAAATTTTAACTGTGTAGTTTAGATACCCTTAGCAACCATATAAAAATAAGCAAGTTTTTATACAATTAGAGCTACAAAAAATTTTATAACGAATATATAAGAAAACAAACAAACTTTTATATTCATTATTTTATTATGTAAATATTAAATACTTATAAAGTAAACACCATCTTAAACACCAATAAAAATCAAAACTATGTAATTGACACTTAGTCAAAAATTGGAACCTCTTTAAGAAGATCAAAAACTCCATTTGGAAGAGCGTTTTTCTTAGGATGATGGGGTTTTTTCAAACTACTTATCAAAGAGTCAGAAGAACACATTAGTTGCTTTAATAAATCTTCATTTGTTTTGGAACGCGAACACTTTCTAGAAAATGATTCTTGAAATTTCTTAAATTTTTTATTTTGAGCTTCTTGTGCCTCTTCGCTGAGCATGCCAATAGGCAAAGATATCCTCTCTACAACTTGCCAACCATGGATAAGAATGTGATGCAGACTCTGTAGCATATGATACTATGGATAAAAGATTACATTCTTCTCAGCTGTTTTGTAACAGTATTCTCTAAATAGTGAAGAGTCATTTAGAAAGTTAGATGACAATGTACATAAAATCACACGCAACATCTTTATCATACTAACATCAAGTTCAAGAATTTGAGATTTTGAGATTTTGAAGAATTTGAGAACATTCTGAAAAAATTTTCTAGCAGTGTTCTCATTATTTGAAGACCCAGAGCCACTAGATGTTAGCATATCAATTATAAGTCCAACTTCATCACGAAACCTTATCTGGATTTTCTGTTTTCGTTCTTGAATAATTTTCTTTTCAGATATAGTTCTTGTAGCCCACTTTTTCACTGTCAATTTATAACTAATTTTAAGAAGACATTCCATGCTTTTAATCCAAGCATAAAGAGTTGCAAGACCGAAGCAGTGACCTATCTCTGTCAATGGCATATTTTTAGCTGCATTAAGATCATTCATTTTTTTTGGACTGCATCCACAAACAGAACAACACTGAGAAGATGTAGTTGCTGTAGATAATGCTGTAGCAACTTTGCCGTCCACCATCGTTATTTTAATTTTATGAAGTATTTTTAAGTTTTCACAAAATGTTAAAGACAAATTTGCAATTGAATTGTTAATAAACTGATTCTCTTGTTTCAAAACTTCAATGGTTTCTTTTTTAAATGAAAATCTTATTGGTCTGCAATATAAAGTTGAAGATGGATGTGGATTAGACTAAATTATTATTTTTTTATCATTAATGAATCCAAACAACTGAAGTGGAACAAAACAAGAAATAAACAAACTAGCTTCTTCTAAAAGATCTGTTTTCTCAACTGTTACTTGATTATAAATCCTTTGGCTAGTTGATCTATCAAACCCAACTTTAGAATATAAAGTCAACCTTTCAAGATCATTCATTGAATCAATAACTTGTTTCTGCAACTGTATTAGGTGTATTGCTGTATGATCGACTAATGCTTGAAAGTTTATTTCTGCCGAAAAATCATTTACAGTCCATAATGTTTTTTCTGGAAGACACTGTTCTTTAGCAGCACGAACATCATTGTAAGCAGGATAGAGATTACAACCTTTGCTCAAAGCATTATTTCTCAAGCGTTGGTAATCAGATTTGCTCATATCATTATTTAATATGAGCGCTAGAGCTTCATTTAAAGTGTTTTGAGTATGTTCTGTATCAGAAGGTTGCTTAATAGATAAACTTCAAACTACTTTTGCATCCTTTCTTCTGCCATCTTTAAAAAGATTACAACTACTAGGATATAACAGTTCATTTGATGAACAAGTTATTAGGTCCATAGTCCATACTTTACGACTCTTTGTCTCATTTGATGAATCATCAAATAATTTTACAGGTCGACCACTAACTATAGATTCAGTTTTATTATCCTGATTTTTAAATGACTTAATAAAGTCTTTTTGAAGCCATACTGAACTGTGCTTCATAAACTTTTCATCAATTCTTTTACTTAAAGACCAATGTTTACGATACTTGGAAAAAAAGTTTACAAACTGAGCATCAAATTCAGAACAGTATTCACAAATAAAATTGTAAACATAAAGTTTTTCTTTTTCATTAGACAGATAAACCATGCTGTCTTATGAATTGATGAATTTGATATCTTGTCATGGTTGACATATTACTAATAATAATATTATTAGACTAAAATAATATAAACATTAAAAATTTGTATTAATATATATATATATATATATATATATATATATATATATATATATATATATATATATATATATATATATATATATATATATATATATATATATACTTGTTATTTTGCGACAAAAGAAACTTGAAAAAGAAACATCTTTGATTTTATAAAGCATAAGTATTAAAAGGTATTATAAGTTTTTTTAACATTTTTTTTTTATAAATTTTATATATTAACAATTATTTGATATGTTAATAAAAACAGTTAACCAATATACCAAAAATAAACACTTTTTCTTTTTTAAAAACTACATTTTCTCACTTTATTGCCTTTTTTTTTTTTTTTTGCAAAAATTTTACTTGAAATGAGTTTTTGTTGAGAATATATAATTTATTGTAATGAGGTCCTCAATGTATCTAAGTAAAAACTTTTAAAAAAGAATTTCAGTTTTCAGACTTTTTTTAGTTTTGTCCACCTACTGTGCAAGGCTGCAAACAATCACTGTTAAGTTAGAAATTACTAAAAAATAAAGAATATATATCAGGGGCTATATAATAGAGTGCAGTGAAAAAATTATAAGTGGAATATTTATATGTAATAGCAAAAAAAAGTTGTCTTTTGGTAAGTGTTCAAACATTGAAAAAAAATTTCAAAAATTTCAATATCTTCAGCTGCCTCATAGGGGACAAAGTTAGTAAAAAGAGGTACTTTTTATTACAATTGAGTGTTTTAGTCAATTATTTTTTTTGATTAAAGATTATACTTTTTTGTCAAATTCTTTCAGAAAAAACTGTTTTTTATCTAATATGAATATATTTCGATGACCTTTTAAGGTTATATATATTTTAAGGTGTGACACTTTTGTGGGAAAAAGGGGGGCGGAGAATAATTAGGAAATAATTGGGGGACATGGTCGCAGAGGACCATGTCCCCTAATTATTTTCTTTTTGAAAATAATTAGGGGACATGGTCCTCTGCGCTTCCCCTTCCCTCTCTCCGTCACTGTGGCAGATTAGCAAGTTAGTAAGTCAGCAAGTCTATTACAAGTTAAAGGGTGAAACAAAAATATCTATTCATTAATTATTTTAACATACACAATCAAGTTTTAGAAAATCTGTCATTACACTCTACCAATTTATTGGTTCGGGAGCACGATATTCTGACTTTGTGTTAAACACTAGCATTATGAGACGTCCATGTAAACGCGATCGAATAAAACCATCTTGAGTTTTTTCTCCACATACAGCCAGCGAAGCCTCATCAGCTGTCAACGGTGGCTCGGTTTTATTTTATTTCCAGTTGATGAGTTCTATGTAATCATGTGCATCTAAATTAAGCTTTGGTACACTGAAAGTAGGCAGTGTGTGATATTTTTCCTGTCGCGTTTTAAGGATGCGCCTTAATCCAAAATCACGAATTTGTTGACGTTTGTTACTAACCATTGCTAGTAAGAGATTTTCTGAATGAGCAAAATAGCTGTTAAGTTGTAATACAGGATCTACTATATCTCACATGTTTGCATGCAAAAGACAAACCAACCATTGCAACGATTTGTTATATTTTTTTTCCATCAACCTTATTGCGCTACTTTTAATTCCTCAGATCCAACAGCTACAAACTTTTTAACGTCAATATTTTTGATAGTTATAAAGTTGATTATAGAACTTTTTATCAAATAGGCAGACGATCCAGATGGTGATAAATGCCCAAGGTATTTAGACCCTGGTTCGTCTATGAAAGAGATGTGCTCTTGAGTAATACTTCGTCGATAGAACTTTAACCCTTCCTTGATACCAAATTCCTTTCAACTTTAACCCTTCCTTGATGTTTTCAAGAGTTTTGTTTTTTCGTCCATCAAAATAAATTCCTTGAACTATTTTTGAATTTTTAGAAGTTTTTAGTTGATTACGTTTTCTCTTACGCTCCCGTCATATTTTACTCAGATCAACAACATAAGAGGTATCTTGTTGATTAACAACACTAAAGTCTTCCAAAACTACATTTGCTATTGCAGCTCCGGCTCTATCTGAGATCCCATACTGGTCACAGACGTTTGCTAATGCAGCAAGTGGTTGTCGACATTAAAAATATGAAGAATTAATAATGTCAATGGAAGAAACATCGGAAATATTACGTTTATTAATGTAATTATCATCTTCATCACTTTGACCTTAGATCGACTTTCAAAATCACCAACCGTAGACACAGACAAGGCATTGCAATGCTTATTTCTACCCCGCTGCTCAATACTTTTTTTTTAAAACTTCATGGCCAGTTTATTTGATGCAAGTTTATCAACCTTGCCTAGCCACATCAATTTGAGAGTTCTCTGATCTTGGATAAAATCTTGCTCTGCAGGAGGAACCTTGAGAGTTTTGTTACATACACAATTCTCAAACACACACTTACAGGTGTAGATGTCAAACAATTTATGTCTCGTATCTTCTTTAAAAGCGTTTACTTTGCTATCATAATTACTGCGCTTGATATTTCGAAATAGTTTTCTGTATTTATCACGATAGGAGTGAAGTACCTTTAACACCTGTGTATGAGTAATCATTGGTTTTAACCATATTTTTTCAACAACTTGTGCAACTTTTTCAGAGATTTCTGTTATAGTAGGTTCTTTCGTAGCAGCTGTTGGTTTCAGTTGATGTTTTACAAGCAAGTAATGTTTCATTACATCTTCATATGTTGGTAAACCAACTTGCGACATCTCTTTAGGTATACCAAAGACAGGACAAGTCAGCATCATCCTTGTTCTCACTAACCTAATGGCCATATTAAAACTTGTTCTATAATAAGCAAACTTTGTATTAGATTCATAAGTAATTATTGATTTATACATTAATCTAGCAAGCCATAAATAAAATTAAAAGCTAAAGTAAAATATCAAACATTAGTAATAATTTCTTGATATGCAAAGAAATATATTGAGAAGTATTAAAAGAAATATAATGAACGACTTAATATTTCATAATTATTTCTAAATAATAACTAAAAAAAGGTTAATAAAACACATTTTACTTCAATATAACATAAAGTTAACAAGTAGTTTAAAATATTTAATATTAAACATTTATTGAACAGTTATAAAGCTGAAATAACCAAGATAACCAAAACAGGTTAGGTGAAACCAATGGCGAATTTAGACTTTTCTTTTTTTTTTATGTGTCAGAGCGTGAAGATGACTAAAAAAAAACTTTTTTTTTTTAGTTGATTTTAGGTGCCCCAAGAAGTCCTTACGGTCTTATCACAGAGCACCGCGGAAAAGCATTTAATAGGAAGTTCACGCCTCCTTCCCAACCGATATCGCAAAACTTGCTTAGAGGTGGGGTTTGAACCACGGATCTTACATTTCTGAGGCAAGTGCGCTACCACTGCGCCAAAGCAGCTTAACTTCTCGACTCTTTTGGAGGGCCTGGGGCTATGAACCCTAGCCCCCCACCCCCAAACTAGCCCCCTTAATACAGTACTGGGTGAAACAATGCTGTTAGTAATTAGGCTTAATAAAGGTAGGTATTAATAAAGAAAAAAATACAGTTTTTTATTTTAAAAAGTTATGGCTAAAACAGGCTGTTTTCATGAAAAATACCTATTTTTCAGTAACTTTGACCCCCTCGAGGCAGCTGAAGACATTAAAATTTTGAGGAAATTTTATTCACTTTATTTAAACACATATCAAAAGGCAACTTTTTGTTGCTATTACATATCAATAATTTACTATTTATATTTTCACCCTAAGTTTCACTGCACCCTACTATATATATATATATATATATATATATATATATATATATATATATATATATATATATATATATATATATATATATATATATATATATACACACACTTACTAAAGCGTATTTTTAAAAGCATTTGCTCACTTTTTTTGCTTACCTTAACCCATACAGTTTTTTTTAGAAAAAGAAGCAAAAAAAATAAAGATGATGAATGAAACGATTGCCGCCCCATCCCAAACCCTCAGTCGATGTAGCAGCATTCCACTGCGAGTCAGGCTATTTGTCAGTCGATGTATGTACTGAAGTTCCCAGCAGCAGGCTATTTCAGTATGACGTCAGATTGCTTACCAAAGTACGCAATACTATTTATATATATATATATATATATATACATATATATATGAATGTATATGTATATATATATATATGTATGTATATATATATATATATATATATATATATATATATATATATATATATATATATATATACATATATATATATATATATATATATATATATATATATATACACACACACACACACATAAAGGGGCTATTCTAGGAAAAAAATATAGGCGGCGATACCTCTCCGTACCAGAGAAATTTAGCGGAAATATATGGAGATTTAGAAAATTCTTTACACAAAATTTAATTTATTATTTATGTTGCATGAATACACTAATTAAAAAAAAATTAATATTAAAAAAAAAAAATCGTAAATCAAACATTTTCTACAATAAAAAAATTAAATAGTTAAAGAATTATATGAGAAACTTAAACCTTGGTGGATAAAGCTTCCAGTGTTTTTTTCCTTCAAGTTGAATAACAAAAGCTTCAATATCATCATAGTGCGGTGCAAACCCTTGACTACCAGGTGGTGTCAAATACCTTTAAAAGAAAAAAAAAACATTCTTAAAAATATAAGAATAAATGTTCTTAGTTAAAATAAAACTACACGCATAAATGCATCCCCAACATAAAAAACAATTTCTTACACATTAGATCCAACTAAACAACCAAAATACTCCTGAAGGCGTGATGTTAGTTGATGGACACTTTTAGCAAATATTTGTGGATTTAAAAGACGAATAGAACAACCATCCTAAAAAAGAAGGAAACAATTTTGTATTCAAACTTAAATTAGAATCATCTACAAATTTTACTACTTTTAGGTTTTTAAAACAGATACAAGTAACAAAAATTTATGTTATTTTCATACTTTATCTATACTTGTGAAATTTTAATAACAGTTAACAGGCACATATCTAAAGGGTGACCATTGTGACCAAGGCCACATAGTTTAAAGTCAGATTGATTTATTAGAAAATTTATTTAATGTTTATCAAAAATCTTTTAGAACTTTTAAAATTAATTATTGAAATATTTTAGAATATATATTATTGAAAACGAATATAAGCAATTTTAAGACTCGCGTATCATTTTTTCGTCTTAGTGGTTGTTGATAAACTACATCACGCTAAACTTAAATTTTAAAAACTTTACAGTAAACATCGCTATATTATTTCAAAAATCTCTGCAAAAGATAGTCAACAATACTTATAAACTCTATGTGACATACTTTATGTATGACCCTTATCAACTTATGGCCATTGAAATAAAATTTAACGGCAACCAACTTAGCTTTGGATTTTTTTGCTAAAGGAATATGCCTCAAAATTTCATTGTGTCTGTTGTAATTTACGCAATTTGGCAATAGAGATTCGAATAAAAAACCAAATTAGGGTTTTTTATTCGCTACCGTGAGATCATCATTAGTACCATTTTCCAGATTTCTTTAGAAACTAAGATAACGTGACTTAAGTTACTTGGTTTTTTAAATATTATAAAATATGAATTCATATTTAACTGCAGAATTAGTTGCTTGTGCAATAGAAACAAAGCATAATTCTAATGTGTTAAATTACAAAACTAGTCTCATTAAAGAGTGTAGTTTTTTAATTTAACACATTAGGCTTTGTTTCTATTCTGCAATTTTAAATACAAAAGTGCTTTTTGTTTCAAGTCAAATCATTTTGTGGCATTGGTTAAAGATCTTCCCAAAAAATAGCCAGCTGTTGTTATGAGTGATACAAGTTTATTTCGTATCAAAAAAATTAAAGTCTAATTTTAAAGTCTAATTTTCCACCTACAGATAACCAATTCAGCCTAAATTATTCTTTATAATGTTTCTAAGAACACTTTAGATATCTGAAGTATGGTAATTGTAATAAAACAGTTAAAACTGAAGTAATTATCTCAAAAGACACCAACAACACTCTTAAAACACTCTTAAATCTAATGTTGCACTAAAGGAAAACAACATTGTTGACATAAGTTTATTAAATACGTATCAGTTAGCATCTTATTCAAACTATGGTGTTTCATCATACTATCTATATGGTGAAAAACTAAAATCAGGAACAAATGATTATAAATTGTTATCTCTAACTAATAATGTCTGGGTTCTGGATAAATGCTTCCAATTCCCATTAACAAGTAAAAACAGAAAAAGACATTTTTTGCTAAAATGGTTAGATGATTTTTTTTGACTTTGTTACTCTAAAATTGAAGATGGTGCATATTGTCTTCCATGTAATTTACCAAACAAATATGCATTACGTAAATTGTTTAAAGATCCATTCAATACCTCGTGTAATGCTGTAAAAATTTTCAATGATCATGAGAAAACTGTTGATGGATTACATATTAAATCCATACATTGTTATAATATGCTTTTATCTAGAGCTAAAAATAACACTTTTTCTATTAAAGTTTCTCTAGATACTTCTATGAAACAGTGTATAGTAGAAAACAAAAAAAACTTGAACCATTTAAGACTATAATATTTTTAGGTCGAATTGATATGCCTTTACGAGGTCATAGAGATGATAGAAAATATCAAGGAGAAATTGGAGAATCTTCAAAAATTACAGGGCTGGGTAATTTTATTAAGCTTTTAAACTTTAGAGTTGATGCAGGTGATTTAATTCTAAAGGAACATCTTCTCTCTGCCCCAAAAAATTCCACATATATTTTAAAGACCATTCAAAACGAATTTATTGTGTGTTGTGGAAATGCAATTGATAAATTTTATTAAATGATATTAAAAAAAGTATCTCTTCATTATTGCAGAGGAGGCTTTAGACTGTGCAACAATAGAACAACTTTCTATTGTCATACGTTATGTTGACTTGAACAGTAATATTAAGGAAGCTTTTTTGAATGCAAAACAGGAACAAGTGGTTTAAACATAGCTACCAACATTCTTGAAACTTTAAAAGAATTTGGTTTAGATATAAGAAAATGCAGAGGCCAGTCTTATGATGGAGCTGTTTCAATGTCAGGTGAATACAAAGGTGTTTCATCTCTTATAAAAATCTTAGGAGTTTCATCTCTTATTGTTAATCATAAGGCATTACTTGTCCACTCTGCCTCACATAAACTTAGTTTAGTTGTTGGGAACAGTTGCCAAGTACAGCAAGTAAAAAAGTTGCTTAAGCAAGTTAAAGACAGATTTATTTTTTTAACTTTTCTCCTAAAAGAATTACTTATAAAAATTTTTTAATTTTTATAAGTGATTAATTTTTTAATTTTTTAATTTTTATAAGTAATTAAAAAATTAATTATTATAAAAATACCTACTTCCTGGTCAAGCAAAACTTATTGACACATGTCAAACTTGGTGGGTACAAAAGCTTCATGGACTTGATGTGTTTTTCAATAATTATTCTACAGTTTTTTATGAAGAAAAAATAGAAACATCTTCAAAGGCATCTTTTTTTATGAAGCTATTGTCAAATTTTTCTTTTATAGTTTCTTTAGTTTTAACTAAACAACTAATGAATTAATTTTATGGAATTTTTGTCACCCTTCTAACTAAATCTTTTGATATTTCTCAGCAACTGGATGAAATTCAAAATTTGACTAATCGTTTAAAAGAAATGCTGATACTTACCATAACAAATGGTATAAAATTGCTCTTGTATTGACTAAAACATTTGATATTGATGAAAAACCTAGAACATGTGGTGTTTAGAAGCATAGAGATAATCAAATATGTGATACTGTATCTGATTATTTTACAGTTTCTATTACATTGCCTCTTCTTAATTATCTTCTTAATGAACTAGAAAATAGGTTTGATATTGAGAGCTTAATTGTTTATAATTCCTGCTAGTTTAACAAAGCAATATTTTAGATCTTGTATATGGAAAGAAAAATTCCTCATTTTTTTGAATTTTTATAAATCCTCATTTCTCATCAATGCTGAATGAGAGTAATGGGAGGAATTTTGGAAAGACAAGATTTATCATCTGCTATTTCAGATACAATAAAATTTAGGGATATGGGAGGCAAATATTTTAGAGGCTTTTCATATACTTGCTACAATACCAATCACAACTTGTGATTGGAAAGGTCAATATCTACTCTTAGGAGTATAAAAACTTACGCTAGGAGTATTATGTCAGAAAATAGATTGGATGGACTTGCTTTAATGTCTATTCATCAGGAAATAGTTCTTGATATTAACAGAGTTATTGAGATATTTGCATCCAAAGGAGACAGAAAACTAGAGTTTTATTTAAATAAAAATTTGAATAAAAATCAAGTTGTGATTAAAAAATTTAACTATTGTTTTATAAGTATCTAATGTTAATAATTTCTCAATAACAACATTGTTATAAACATGTAAACTGTAAAAATCATTTTTTATTAGTAAATTTTTTCTATTCATTTTTTTATATAAACTGTGAAACTCATACTTCATTTGCTATTTTTATATAAACTGTGAAACTCATACTTCATTTGCTATTTTTATATAAACTGTGAAACTCATACTTCATTTGCTATTTTTATATAAACTGTGAAACTCATACTTCATTATTTTTATTAATTCTTAAAGTTGAGAGCGCTTTCAGGTGATTATGTTTTTAGTTTTCAGGTTGTTATATTTTTAGTTGTTACTTTATTTGTTGTATTATATTTTGTTTAATTATTTATTAAAATTTATTAAAAAAAAAGTTAAAAAAAATTATAAAATGCTTTAAAAATATTTTAAAAATAGGTTGGAGGGTACTTAAATTAAAAAACAAAGAAAGCGAAACTGCACGAGTTAGTCATGCATACCTAACTTTCTTGGCAGAAAACACTAAAGATACAGTTAATTATTTATTTTTGATATGTTTTGGTAAAAAAATCTCAATATAGTTTATAATAACAATTCAAAGTTTTGTTGTTTTTTGTTTTTAAAAAATATTTAAGAAATAATTTAATAAATTTTAATTAGTAATTAACTAATCTAGAAAGATCTATACCATGAACTAAAATTTTATACTGATGAGCTGTTCTGTGTTGAATTTTTTTAAAAATGCCTATTTTCATAGCCACCATTTATTAAAAATATCTATTAGAACGTTGAGAAACATTGTAAAAAACTAAAGAATGAAAAATCAGATGAAAGCAGATTTGTTAATAATTATAATAAGTTTATATTCAATGATACTGTTTATAAATTTCTGAAAAAGTTTCTAAAAAAGTTTGTATAATTCTATAAAATATTGGCACCTACTGTTTTTTGAATAAAAATATCAGGACTAATGTAATTTTCCGGATTAGTCAGGAATTAGTCCGGATGAACCAAAAAAAATATACTAATCTGTTATTTTATAAAAACCAGATATTTTTCTTTTAAATATAGAAATATTAACAAAAATTTGATATCTTGTGAAAAAATCAGCTCAATATGTTGAATGCTTCTTTATTTATAATCCTATTTCCTCATTTTACATAGGAACGACACATAGTGCGTCCACGAACCCAGATTTGGCCACACAGTTACAAATTCCTGGATCTGTGCCTGGTTAAGTATCTGTATACCTAGCATTATTAAGACACTATGCATTTTTAATTACATTTTGAATAGGTATAATATCCCGTCATAAAAACCTTTATAGTCCAATTCAGAAAGATCAAGCTGAAGCCCTGCTAAAATCCAACCTTTCAGATAAAGATTGTAAAGAATGTAGGTTACAGCCAGTAAGCATTTAGTACAGTTGCAAAACCTCATATAGGACTGAAATATTGTCCAAATATCACCAGGTCGTAGTCTTTGCTCATTTTTTCAACCCATATCTTTACAAAGTTAGTGGCAGCACTATCTTGGAGATTTTGTAATCTAACAGTAATGAAATTTAGTTTCAGACAATATCTTTTCTTGCATCAATTTCTTGCAATAACAGAAATAAGTTCAGAACAAACATCTTTCTATTTATTTATTTGCTTTTTGTGGAATTTTTAAAAAATAGGATTAGAAAAAGTAGCTGCAAAAAAAGGAAAAAATCATCAAGTAGAATAATTATTAAGCAGATATTATTATAGGGAGATATTTTAGGAAGAATGATTATTAGGGAGATATTATTATAGGGAGATATTTTAGGAAGAATGATTATTAGGGAGATATTTTTATAGGGAGATTTTTTAGGAAGAATAATTATTAGGGAGATTTGTGACTGTTTCTCACACAATTTCACATGGATTTTCTGGTGGATTTTGCAAAAAGTAATTTTCAACTGATGAAAATTTACAGATTAAATTGAAACAACTTGGTGGTGACGATTTTTCTAAATATTTTTAGGTATTTTATTCATGTTTTTATTAATGCGGTAGTGGTGTAGTGGTAGAGCGCTCGCTTCATAAACGAGTGGTTCCGAGTTCGATCCCCACCATGTCCCTGGTAGTACCGCGCTCAACTCGTTTCTTAGCGCAGCGGCCTTGTTCGTCAAGGTTTGTGTTTCGGAGTTATAGAGTTGAGAGAGGGTTATAGCCACAAAATAAGTAGCCTCCTCGTCTGTAGTGGCCTTCTCAGCCTTGAGGAGGTGAAGTAAAATAAAAAAAATAAAATTAAAAAAAAAATAAAAACCTTGACTTGTTTTGCGGTTGCCCTATTTTGGTCAATCAACCCGAATTTTATTAGCGTTCAATTTAAAATGGCAGTTTATGAAAAATATTTTTGACGACCATCCAAGATTTAAAATTTTCATTGCTACATTGCTTACTTTGCTACATATTTATTAACAGAAGTTAATAAGACTTACAATGAGAATAAAAGAGAGCCATCTTTGTAAGAAATAAATTAAATTCAAAATCTAGTCTCTAGTAGTAACCAGAGACGTTGTGGAGAATGTGCTTGGAACTTAACTTACTTCTCACCACCACCATTAAGCGAATTCATAAAATAATCCAATCATGAAAAAAAAGTTCAATAGTAATAGTATCGTTTTGAAGCTTTATAATAAACATTTTTTGAAGCATTATAATATACATGTTTATGTAAATTAATTAAATAATTCAAAATAGTTATAAAGAATATTACACTATACTTCATAAAACTTCCAGACAACAGATGGAAAAGCTCTCCCTTCATGGTTTAATGTTTCACGTTGTCCATTTCTATAAACTGCAATGTCTAAATTTTTTGTATATTGAACATTTTTCTAAAAAAAAATATATAATTTATAAAAAAAATATATGTACAACAACAAAACATAAAAATGTATAAAAAATGTTCTTATTCAGGGTTAGAAGAATCTTTTTTTTCTTCATGTTTTTCATTAGTTGTTCAATATTTTTTTAATTTTTATGCTGTATCAGTAGTAGCATCTTAATAACCTCTTAATAAACCAATTCTGATGACTCTTAATAAACCTATCTTAATAACCTCTTATCTTAATAACCTCTTATCTTAATAACCTTTTATCTTAATAACCTCTTATCTTAATAACCTCTTATCTTAATAACCTCTTAAAATTCCTATTCTGATGACTCTTGATAAACCTATTGATTCTTTTTTTACTTAAAAATAGTTGACTAAATTTTTCTCAAACCGTTGAGAATTTTTTTATATACTAGGTTGGTTGAAAAGTTCGCGGAGCGGCACCTATGTTGCAGTAGTAGAAACAAATTTATAACTGTATTAAACGTATTCATTCTTCGTATGAACGCATAAAAAATTTCAAGTCGATATGTCATTTCAGTCTTTGTTTACAAGCTATTGAAATTAGACGTGTCATAGTATTTTTTAAAATGGAAAATATTGAACATCGTGCTGTAATAAAATTCTTTGTGAAAAAAGGTTTAAAGCCCATGGAAATTCATAATGAAATGGTAAATGTGTTGGGTGATGATGCTCCTTCAAAAACAACAGTATGCAAATGGGCTGCGGAGTTTCAACGTGGGCGTTCAAGCCTTGAAGATGACCCTCGCTCTGGACGTCCAAAAAGTGCTACTACTGAAGAAACGATTAATGCTGTGCATGACATGGTTATGGATGATAGACGATTGACCAAACGTGAAATTGCTGAGGCTGTGGGCATCTCAGATGAATGGGTATTACACATCTTGCACGATGAATTACGTCTGAGAAAGCTGTTGGCAAGATGGGTGCCGCATTCGCTAACTCTGGATCAGAAACGCACTCGAGTAAAACTTTCTCAAGAACATTTGGCCCGTTTTCAAAAGAATAAAACAGATTTTGTGCGTCGATTCGTAACCATGGATGAGACTTGGGTTTACCACTATGATCCGAAGCTGCGACAACAAACTGCAGAGTGGACAGAACCCGGTTGTTCAGCTCCGCAGCAAGTGAAGGCGTCAAAATCGTCAAAGAAGGTTATGGCATCAGTTTTTTGGGATGCGAAAGGAATTTTATTAATAGATTACCTTCAAACCGGTAAAACGATAACAGGTGAATATTATAAAAATCTTTTGAACCAGTTGGATAAAAAAATTCGTGAGAAAAGACCTGGTTTGCTGCATAAAAAAATCATTTATCACCAGGACAACGCACCTGCTCATATCAGCGATGTTGCAAAGGCGAAATTGGTCGAATTAAAGTACGAACGCTTGGAACATCCACCCTATTCACCAGATCTGGCTCCGTCCGACTTCCACCTCTTTCCACATCTCAAAAAATTTCTACGTGGAAAGCGTTTCTCATCACATGAAGAAGTCATTGCAGCCGTAAATGGGTATTTTGAAGGCCTTCCGGAATCGCACTTCAGAGATGGGATACATGAATTGGAGAATCGTTGGAAAAAGTGTATTGCTCTTAAGGGAGAATATACTGAAGAATAAAGTCATTTTTTGAATCATAAAATTGTTTTTTCATTTCCGCTCCGCGAACTTTTCAACCAACCTAGTATTGCAATAGTTATTTGAATAAGAAACTAAAAGTTATTATAAATAACTTTTATTTTAGTTTTATTTTAATTTTATTTTATATTTAAAAATTATTTAAATTAACTATTGTAACACTAATAGCAACAGATAAACTGATTTGTTGTTTTTATTTTTAGATTTTTTTACTAACTTTATATTTAAATATCAATTTGGTTTGAACAGCTGTGGTGCATCTGTTAGCGTAATGGCCTCAGAATCAAGAGATCCATTCTTACTCTGGCCATTTAATCAACATCAATAGATAAGGGGATCTGAACTTTTTAAATTCTCTTTAGCTGTGCAATATTATTAGGCCGTTGGATAATATGTCTGGAGCATTTTTATGAACTAGAAATATAATAAATTAGTCATTTATATTTTAGATCTATCATATAAAACATAATTGCAGTTCAGAAGACAAAATAGAACCAAACTCTGTAGAGCACATAGGGTGTTGGTCCAACATAGATCATCAAGTCATTATTTTTTAAAAACTCAGATACTGTTTTTCTAAAAATAATTAGAAAATATAGCAAAAACATTTTACTTCAATTACTTCTATTTATTGATCAGCCCTATTTTGAAGGCTATTTTAATGCATGGGGGCTGTTTTAATACAATATAAATATCTAAAAAGCTTTTAAAGAACTTAATAGAAATGAAAATTAAACTTTAGAAATTAAAAAGTTGAAATCATACTTTTTTATATTTATTTGATGAGTAGCATGTAATAAAAATAGAATAAGGCAATCATTCTCTTCCTATCTCCTTAAAAAAAATTTTCTCTAATTGACACACAGACACCAAATACTGTGATCCAGAGAAAACAGGTTTAACTACAAACAGAGCATCATAGTCGGCAACCACAAACTGAAACTGTGTTTGACAGAAAATTAAAAAAACAAATTACAGGACTAAGAAGTTTCAGTGTGTGCTTTTTCCTGTCATATTAATAAATAATGTAATTTTATTAATAGTTATTTGTATAATTTTTATTAATCATGATAAAGTATAATTTTAAATTATATCTTTAAAAATATATTATTTACAATAAAAATAATCTATTGTTATAATTTTATTAGAGAAAATTATTTTAAAACATTTTTATATGCTCTTAGTATGATTAAAAAACTATTTTTGATTACTAGTATAATACTTAAAGCTGTAACTTTTTTGAAGAAAAGTTATATGACATATTGACAAATAGAGTCATTTATAACCAACAGTAAACCTTGGTGATCTAAAATATATAATTTTTTATGTCATTTAATAATACTTTATATTAAGACAACAAAAAATTTAAGTAAAATTTGTATAAAAAATGTCAAATATTAAAAAAAATTTTGATACAGCTGTTACCGAGAGGATCATATATTGCAGAACTACTAAGTATTTCTATCTGAGAATATTTTAATTATTTTATCAAAAGACAAACCTAAACATAGTTTTAGTGAACTTGTTAATAACCTTATATGGGTTTGGCTACTTATTTGGGTGGAAATCAGCTCATAAATCTGGTTTACATCATTTACCTTATGGACGGTAACATAAGTAAAATACGTGCGATGTAACATAAGTAAAATACGTGTCAAAATAACACTTTATTTTTTCCTGAGTAGGTCATTTATAATAGAACTTTTTTTTTTTAATGAGTATTGAATTTACAACATGATGACATTTTTAATGCAATTTTTAAAATTTATTTGTGGTCTATGGTTCTCAGAAGCTCCCAAAAAGTTACTTTTGGTCAACTTTTGTAAAAAACTTGACTTTTAAGGTACAGGAACTATGAATTTTGAACTAAGAGTCCTTATGCTGCCAAAGCCTCCAGGCTTAAAACCTCCAATGCTGGCAAATGACTCCAGGCTTAAAAACAACAAGTTTAAAGTCATAAAACACCATGAATTTTTTTTTATATTTAATGTTTAATTAAATATTGATGTAGTTCAAGTCTACCAACATTTTTAAACATCAGATGTTTTTCACACAAAATCTAATACAAATTATTTACATAAAATGCATATTATTTTTAAAATTTTTATAAAATTTCCCTCTTTTTTGGGACCCAAGTTAAAACACTCTGTAAAAATATTTTCAATGATTATGAATTAGAGACCCGTTTGATGTTTCAGGGACTTGAGCTACCCCTGAAAAAAATTTTTATAATGAAATGTTTGAAACATACACGATCTAGAAATATTTTAACAAACGATAACATATAAATTTAAAAGTTTTTTGTTTTTGCAAAGTGTAAGTCTAAAAATGTTAACACAGTGAACGCTCTATAAAGCAATCTCTCTTTAAGCAACATTCTTTACAAGCAACCTCTATAGCAGCTTTTTTTACTTCATTTTTTCTGTATAAACACCTCTTTTTTTTAAAGATAAATATTTGAGTTAAGTTTAGGTTAATTCAGAAGTAAAATCAGCTGTTCACAACAACGTAACCTTAAATTGTAAAAAATTCTGTTATTGAAATATGTTTGTGTTTTATGCTGCCATTTTATTGAAATGAATTTTTGTTAAATAGAATAGTTACTTGAATTCTGTCAGTTTTGTTAATAAATAAATAAATAAATTAATATATAGTGTAAACAATAAAATGTAGTGAAATCGACAATATAGTATTTTCTTGGTTCTTGGAGCGGCAACAATTAAACAATTTAGTTCCAATTGAAATGATCAAATTAAAAGCACTCAAAGTAAATAGATTAAATAATGGACCTGAAACATTTGTAGCAAGTGATGGATGGTTAATAAAATTTAAAAAACGGCATGGTAAAATCTGAAATCGACAATATAGTATTTTCTATCACCCAAAAATGCTTGGCAAACTTTTACACTTTTTAGTGACTGGTATAATTATATACTCAATATTAAATGTATTTTTTCGTCAAGTGATGAAATTTAATACAACATTCCTTCTGATCACTTTTTAGAAGATGATATTCCCTTGGCAAGATTGTATAATTCAATATTTAATGATTGTAAATTAGCAGGTACCCAAACTATGGAGTGGGCAAGTGAAACAAGCAAGGCAAATCTTTCATTTAACCTCAAAGAAAATCCTGAAGTAGAAAGTGAAACTACTTCTGTTAAAGAAAATGAAAAAACATCAGATGACTCCAATAAAAACATTAGTGTTATAAATTCTTTAATTTTAGTGATAGAATGGGCAAAAGAAAATGACTTATCTTGCAATGAGGTTCTTTTGTTACTAAAAATAAGAGAAAAGGCTATAATGAACAAGTATATGTAATTGTTTTTGTTTATTTTTGCAATAAGTGCTGTACTAAACCAAAGATTTATTAAAGTTTGAATTTTTTTATAATATAATTAATAACAATGCTTATATGATGATAATAATAAAATGTTTTCTTTTGCAAAGTAAAGCTGTACAGTTTACAGTTAGTACAGTTTACAAAGCTATACAGTTTAGTTAGTAAAAGAAAAACATTTTCCAAAATTAAAAATATTTTTATACTCTTTTTTTCCCTATAAGTAACTTTTCCCACTAAGTAACTTTTTTACTGATTTTTAATTGGTTCAAATGAGTTGCTTATATAGAGCGTTCACTGTAGTTTAATTTTTTTTAAATTGAAATTTTAATAAAAATGAATTTTGAATTGTAAAACTATAATAAAAATTATTTAATTTAAAAAATTGTCACTTGAATAGACTAGATTGAGCTATTAAGTGAAGTCAAAGAGTAGACTGAATTGAGCTGTAAAGTGAAGTCAAGGAATAAACTGAATTGAGATGTAAAGTGAAGTCAAGGAATAAACTAAAAAGAGAAATAGGATAATAATATAAAGAGATTTAAAAGAGAACAAAACAAAATTATCTCAGTAAAGCATATTAAAAAGTATTACTTTGATATTGTTTTTAGAAGTTGTAAGACTAAAAGTTATAAAATTAATTTTAAAAAATAGAAATTTTGAACTTTTTTATTAAAATAAAATTTCTGATAAACTTTTGTAAAACTAAAATAAAATTGTTTAACTCAGCTTTGACAATTTTGAGCTTAATGCTTAAGAAAATGCAATTAATTGCATACTAGATCAAGCTGTCGAGGAAAGTCAAAAAATAAAATAAAAAGAGAGATAATAATATAAATAAAAGCATTCAAAACAAAGCAAAAAGCACCTAAGTAATAATAAACACAATAAAACCAACTAATGCATTAAATGCATAAAACTCATACTGCTTAGCAAATGCTACAACATAGGTGCTATAAACAATTGAGAACTGTTTTATTTATAATTTATACAGATTTTTTGTAATCTTATAGTAAAAAATTAATTTCAAAGATGAGATATTTTAAATAATCTTAATAATCATTGTTTCATAAAAAAAAAATATAAATAAAAAGAAGAAATAACAACAATTATTATTCTTAAAAAATTTATCTAACTTAAAAATTTTAAAAGTACCTCTCTGAGAATTTTGTCGAGTTTTTTTGTACTGAACCAATTGGTGTTGTAAAGAGGTTGCCTTCTTTTAATGAATAATGGTTTTTTTTGCCATGCTTCACTACGTAAACAAAAAGATAATTTAGATTTTTTTTTTTTTTTTTAAAAAAATCATATTAAATTTGGAAACAAGGAATATATAAATGTGTTTGTTTTTTATTTATTGCTGTTTAATCACTTTTAACAAAAAAATTTTATTTAAACATTCAATATCGATCAATTATAGGGGAAGTGAAGCTCTTTAGCAATGGTGAAGACAATTCAAAAATTCTGATACTTAAGTCTTTGGATGTCAATGTTCTGAAAACCTGGGACTCGATCTTCTGAAAACCTTTGGTCTTGATCTTCTGAAAAACTTTGGTCTTGATCTTCTGAAAAACTTTGGTCTTGATCTTCTGAGAACCTTTGATGTTGATCTTCTGAAAACCATGGATATAGATTTTCTGAAAACCTTGGATGATGCTCTTGGTGGTAGTATCAAAATAAAAACTAATTGATCTGTAAAACAGATCAACAAATGCCAAGAAAGAAATGTAGTTCAGAAAGTTGCTTCAACTTTTCCATTATCTTATTAAAATAAGAAAAAGGGATTATGGAAAACTGTCCAAATCACATCATTATAGACGACAGATGTTGTTATTGTTTTTTTTAAATCAAGTCCATTTATCAATTGTTTTTATAATTTTTATTTTGTCATTTATTTATGTTTTAATTTGGCTTTTATTTTGAGTGAGGGATCTTTGAGCACATTGCATAGCTTACACAGAGAGTGGTGGAAATATACAAAAAAAAAAAAAAAAAAACGCAAAAATAAAATTAATGCTTAAGTATAAAAACAATACATACACCATTATACTAACAAAAGCATGAAAAATTCTTCAACAAAAGAAATTATGTTTCATATTCACTTTGTACCCTCAAAAGATAACATTCATAAAGGTTTAACAAAACAGTAGTTTCCTTGTCATTTATAACCAATCTAGTTTCCTTCTTAGAATTATTACCATTTATTCTTATTCTTTAACGTGCTTCTTTTATGTGTCCCCTCTAGCCAGCCAGGTTTCCATATCCTTCTAATAATTAATGTGTATAAAGCACCCCATAAACCCAATCTAGTTATGGAGGATAGAGAACTCTATCAGGGGCTATTCTAGACTGTTTTCTACAATATCAGTCATATTTGGGCGCTATTAAAATCCTAGCTATTAAAGTCCTCAAATTAAAATTTGAGGACTTTTTTTTCTTCTTTTTTTTTGGCAAAAATGTTGTTTTTTTTTGCGAAAAAACACTGATATTCTGCTAAATTTTGCCAGAAGGGAAGGGGGGTAGAATAAGCCCTGTCTATGTCAAAATTGTTCTGATACATATTAATACTATTCACTTTTACTAGTTTGTTCATCAATGTACAAACAAATGCAAGCAGTTATTGATAAACAACCAAATGCAAGCAGTCATTGATGAACAAACTAAAGGTATTAAAAAGTGAATATAATATTTTAGTCAATATAATAATAATAATAATAATAATAATAATAATAATAATAATAATAATAATAATAGCAATAATAATAATATTAATAATAATAATAATAATAATAAAAATAATAATAAAAATAATAATAATAACAATAATAATAATGATAAGCTGCAGCAAGAAAATATTAATATAAGCAATAAACTAAATAAAGTAAATATGTTTTTTGTTTTTCTTTCTCGCTTGAAAGGGGTAGCAACCCTTCAGCTACTTGTCAGCAGAAAATGGGCTGTAGCAACATTTTGGTGTATAATTATAATGCTAGAGCTAACCAAATAGTTTGTCAATACAATTTTAAACTCATTAAGATCAGGAGAGTTACTATTTGGGAAGAAATTAAGCCTAGTAGAGAAGGCTCGCATGTTATTGTTGAAGTTAAATGCATTAAAGAACTCTTTGAAGAGACACTGAGAGTGTCCTTGAGTTATTTGATCATATGGATGGATAATATGTGGGTTAAGCCAACAAATATTTTTTAAGTTATTAATAAACTTGAAGTTGTAGATTAAATCATGTCAATTGTGTCTTTATAATCACCTTAATTGCCTCTTTCATTTAGTGAGGTGAGATGAAGGTGTAATAATCTAGCTTCGCTATATAACACTCTAAAAATTGAAATTTTTGTTGTTGTGCAGATTTGAAGTTTTTCAATTTTTTTAATGTTATGTTCAGAAAAAGAACTTCATACAGGAGCAGCATACTTGAGATGAGGTCTGATCAGCAATGTGTAAAGTCTCTTCCAGACTAGTACATTTTTATAGATAAAAGCTTTCTTTAGTTGACATAGTTAGCTTTTGATGATATTATTTTGAAATGCATGTCCCATTTGAGGTTGTATGAAAAGCAAATGCCAAGATCTCGTTATATTATTAAAATATCATAATGCTGATATATTATTATTATCTAAATGTAAAAAAGCATTAAAATAAAGAAAAAAATCATGCATTACAATCCAAATAATGATTTAAAAAATGCATTATTTTAACGATATCTGATTGTATAAAAAAACACAGCAATCTATTCAAAAAACTAAATCATATGAAAACGATAGCAATATAATAAAAATAATAATAATAAAATAAAATGATAATATTATAATATAAGAAAGTATGTTGTATGTCATCATCATCTTACAAACAACAATAGTTGTTAATAACAACAATAGTAATGAATTACATCAAATAATATTATTTAGTATAACATCATCTATACTGTTTCTGCTAAAGTTGCTGCTACAATGATAATTTGATGTCATAAATTAAGTTATAAAAGTAATAATTAAATGTTATAGCATAACTATTATTATTCAATAATTAACATACCTGAAAAATCTCTCAGAACTTATTGGTGCTAGTACCCAGTTAAACAACTCTTTACCAGAAAGAGAACTTAAGTTTTTAATTTTATTTTTTGAATGTTCATTGGTAATATCATTTTTTTCTTGATTTATTGCAGCAGATGATGCTGTTGAACTTTGGTTTTTTAATCTTATAGATTTTTTCTTTTCAGATTTTTTTGCTGTTAAATCTACAACGGAATTAGATTTTTCTTGATAACCTATTTTATGCAGGTCATTTTGGACCTTTTTTTGTTCCAAAACTTGAGGTAAAAATTCTCTTTCTAACGAGGAGCTGTTTAAGTCAGCAATATTTTCTGCCCAATTGCGTTCAAACACTTGAAGTACAGAGGGTTTCCTCTTATTTTCTGCAGGTTTTAATGATATCTCATGATGTGCATCTTTTTTGACTTTTTTACGAATTGAATTACGTAATGAATTTAGTGGCTCATTTTTATTGCGTTTTAATTTTTTTTTAACATTGGAAGATTTCATGTCACCATTTTTCTAAAAATTTTCAACAAAGTTTTAAATTAAAAAAACTATTAGTAAAGATATAATTAGTAGAAACTTATTTTTATAAATATTTATAGCGGTAAAAATTTATATAAAGTTAAAACATAAATAAAAAAATAGAAATTTATTTGCATAAATACTTATAATTATCTAAAAAAAACAATGGTAACAAGGCTTCCTGGTAAGCTAAATTTACCAATTTAGCTTACCAGGAATTCTTTTTTTACAAAATATTGGCTATCTAAAAGGTTGTCAATGTTATAAAAAAAGTTTGAGTTGTTGCGTAATGTAGTGGCCTTCATGACCATTGGGAAAAAAGATCATAATTTGATTCAGATGGTAAACTACTTTTTAGATATCCATCATCCTATTTAATTTCATTTATCATTGTTAATTTAGTAATCCATCGATGTTGTAGAATAAGATATATTTTATTTTCAAAGCATAGTTTTCAGCAGTGCTACATCAAACCATTTTTTTTGAAAAATGATCACTTAATTATTTTAATTGATTATCTACAATCCTTTTTTTATTGCGTTTCTTGGAAAAATAGTTCATTCATTGAATTTTGGTGAGAAAAATAGATTTTTTTTCACTATCTTTTAAAGATCTTTTTTGTTTATTTTACACTAACATGATAATGAAATAACACTTTCAAGACATTAAATATTGTACTATCTGATTAAAAAAATTAGAATAAATAAAAATATATTAAAAAAACAATATAACTAGAATATTGAAAACCTGTATAACAAAATGACAAGAAAAAAGTACAATTCATGTTCGATTGTCAGGGGCATGATCACAAACCATATAGTGGGCAAGAGATTATTACAAAACAAACAAAATTGACAATGGACATTTCCATTTCTGTGAGTTGTTTTTATTTTTCTTTGTTTTAGCAATTAAAAGCTGGAACTTAAAACAATATGCATACTATGACTTTCTATGATAAACATTTATAGTAAAAATATTTTAATTATATTTAAGACTACCTCAATAAGTTTTATATATATATATATATATATATATATATATATATATATATATATATATATATATATATATATATATATATATATATATATATATATATATATATATATATATATATATATATATATATATATATATATATATATATCAGGCCTTATGATGAATAAAAACTGCGCGACGCATAAGCACGACGTGATTTTTGACGTCATTAAATTCTTTTTATTTTATTTTCATATTTATCAACATTAACTGCACCAATTTACTTAATTACCACAAAACTACTTTAAATCATTAATGTAGAAATGTTATTATTTAAAAATGTTTTGGAATGTTTCGCTTGTTAAAATGTAAAAACATTTCTTTATTTTCTCGACGTTTGACACGTTTTGTCTATACTAAACGAATAAAAAACATAAGTTTTTCAAATAATTATTTTTTCTTTTTAAAAAGTCAGAGAGTAATAAACTGGAAATTTTAATATTGTACGATTAAAAACTGTGCAATAGCTAATATTTTTACTAGCGATTTAATATAATATTTTTTTATTTTTATTTATTTTCATAAAGCGGTTGATAAGCACAATCACTCGTATTATTAAAAAACTTTAACGAACGTTTTGAATAGATTTTTAATGTTTACAAGGAATTTTATTTTTGGTAAAGTAAAATAAAATGTTAGAATAAAAATCTTTTAGGTATAAAAGAAATATCTCAGCGAAAAAATTATTCTTAAAAATTATTCGAAAAACTATTGACGTTCTATTTTTCAGCAGCTGTTCTTGAGCACGCTTCGTTGAGTTTCGGTAACTTTTAACAAAAAACCGATTGTTATTATTTAAGTAATTTTTTTCGAGTAACTTTTTACAAAAATTTTAATAACTGTACTTTTTATTGAATTAAGTATAATACGTTTTAATATTAATCCTTTTATTTTTTTTTATTTGTGTTTACCAATTTTTAAAATGTTTCCTCGAAATTACTCTTAAATACTCTAAACTCGTCTAACAGTTAATAAATATTTTTAAATCTTAGAATGATTTTAAAACCTAACAAACCCCCGTAAAATAATTATTTAAGTTAAAAATCTAAAACTAAAAGAAAGTATTTTTGTTCAACTTTATCGACAACTTTGCTATTGCTGATTAATTTTATTAAAATGCTAGCTAAAAGATTTAAACTTTTTTTTAATCTGAATTTTTTCTACTTGTAAATAATGAGCATATTTATTTTTTTTGTAATTCAAACTTTTATATCAACTGCGTGCGGTTTTTAAAATACTTTATTAAATGTTAAAATAATCGCAAATTACTTCATTAAAAATCCGCTCAAAAATATCTTTAAATATACTCAAACAAAAATTTTTTTGCTCGACGCAACTTTTTGATTACTTAAAACATTTTGTTTAGAAAGAGACATCAGATAAAACTTTTTTTTTGAAGTTTTACTTATTTAAAACGTTTTTTTAGAAAAAGACTTCAGATAGAACTTTTTTTTTCTAAAACGCAACGATTAAAAATCAAACTTATCCAATCAAAATTTGAATAGCATAAATTTGAAAGAAAAATTGCATAACTTTTATACGCAAAGAAACTTTTGCAAAGAATTTTATTTTTATATCTTTAAATTTTTAAAATAGAAGTAGAAGGTCAACCATTAAAAATTAGCAAAAACTGAATTGTTTTTTAAACTTTTCTCAAAAAATTAATTAAGAATAATTGGTTAAAAAAGAAGTATAGAATTTTGCCCCCCCCCCCCTCCTACTTTTAAGTAAAGCATATATAAATGCTGAGTCAGCATATTTATTGCTAACTAATTTATGCAAAAATTAACTATTTCTTAATTTAATGGAGTGGGGTGCCACAATTAGGCATATTACCGAATCCCCCCACTTTTTTTTTTCTTAAAATATTTAAAGACTAGTAGCTTGCAAATATGACAACATTTGGTGGATTGACTGTCAAAATACCCCAAAATAAATACCATTATTGTTTAATTTACATGTACTTAAGGTGGTTTAAAAAAATTTTTAAACTGATATTTGTATCTGCCATATGGAAGATTGTCTATGTACCAAATTTCAGAATGATACCTCATTTCGTCCATAAAATATTGCTATTTAATGACAAAAATGCTTTTTGCAAAAAATGCTGAGTCAGCATAAATATGAAAATTGAAACCTGAATATCTCAAGAATTGTAAGGAGTTGGAGGTTCCAAATTTCAGATTTTCTTAATTTTCATTAACCCTATAAAATATAAAAAAATTAGCAAAATCCCAAACATGGGGTGACATTTTTTGATATTTTTAGATAATTTGACATGGAATGACCTGTAGATGATCCTAGGCTATCTTTATAAAAAAGATGGTTTTGGTTTCTTAAAGCATTATAGAGATATGTCATTTTAAAATTTAGACAAAAAAAATCTTTTTGTAGCCTCCATTTTCCATTATGGAATTTATAGCAATACTTTTTGTGTGAATAATTTCAGTTCTAGTGGAGAAATATTATTGAAAACTGGTACCTGACCATTTTTAAAGATATTGAATACAAAGATGAAGAGAAATGAACCTAATTCTTTATATTTGAGAATAATTTTAAGATATCAACAGTCAAATTTTTTGTTTTGTAACCATGGTTTACATTTTACTTATTTCTGGAGTTGCCTTACTCTCATTGTGAAACAAGAGGTCTTAGAAAAGTTTAGGTCACTAAAAGAAAATAAAAAAATTATATTGATTTGCATAACTTGCATATTTATAATCAATATTTTTAAAAGTATACATGAAATTATAATTTACTATACAACATTAAAAATATAATTTCTATACAAATTATAATAGTTCAACATTATTACTGAATGTCTAATAATTAAATATTGTTTCAAAATATTGGTTACATGTTTAAATATTAGATTGTATGCTCAAATTGCGTTAAAAAATAAGAAATTAAAATGCAAACTTTTATTGAAAAAAGCTCAAACTTTTATTGAAAAAAGCACAAAAATAAAAAGAAAAAAGAATAACCAAATATTACTAAAATTTAAGTTTAAATCATTTAAATAAATAAAGAAAATATTCATCAACTTTCACTGATAGAGTAAAAGCTGTTCAAATAGTGTTTGATCTTCTTTAGAGATGTGGTGCTAACGATGTTGACGGTATTTTAACATTCATTTTTGGCATCCAACAACTATTATCTCGCTTTGGCCAGTAGTATGACTGACTTGGATAATGTAGATGCATAAACATTACCATAAAATCATCATTCTCTTATCAATTTAAGAAACCATACCAAACCAGTAAAAATCGTCATAATTGCAAAACAGGTATTGTGACATCATAAGATTGTCAGCTTTTGTTTATTGAAGTCAAGTGTTAGAGCAAAATCATCATTTTTATAATTGAATGATAAGGTATAAACTGATGGAAACTTCTTGTCCCAGGAATAGTGGTTGCTATTAAAAGTCTATTTTAAATTAGCTCCATTTCTTCAGCAGGGATGTACACAAACAAAATCCCACTGATTGACTTTTGACAGTATTCAAACATTGCTTGAGAAGACAGTATTTGACCTGTGGTTGGACTCTGCAAGCTAGCAGTTGCAGGAACTTTATTGTTGTTTGGTGCAACAAGAGCAGATACAGTGACATCCAGAGCAGTTGCAAGTTTCTTAATAACTGTGTTTTCAACTTTGTCTTTCTCTTTCCAAGTAAAGGCTTGTTAGAGGTTTTTGGTAAATGAACTTTTAGCAGAGACACTTCAAGTTCACACAAAGTACTGTTGAGCAATGATCTTGTTGATTCAATTATTTATTTTTTTTCATATTATCTGCAGTTAATTTTATCTCCAACTCGTTCTTTTCTGATTCTTCAATTAGTGCTAATTTATGTCTACATTGTGGACAAAGTTTTTCGCCTGGCACTACGAATTTGCCTTAACTGCATAAATACTTTGCTGTATCTAAGTTGATTTCACAAAGACTGCGTAAAAACAGGGATGAACTCTTTTAATATGTATAAAAATTAGAATAAAACCATTTAAAGTAAAATACAAATTAGATATAGCTAAAATATTTGGTTTTCATTATTGTAACTCACAACATTTTCACAAAACTACAAGTTGTGATATTTATAACTTTGTTATGACTAATTAATGTCATAATTGCAGCACCGTGTTAATTTAAGGGCATAACACTTCAAATAAAAATATTTATGATGGAGACAAATTATTGGTTTGATATTGATTATTGATAGCCCAGTGTTCCACATTAATATTTCTAATTCATATTCAGGAATATCTTCAAAAGATTTGATTCCAAGCAACAATGTATATGTTGAAAGATGACATTCACTTTCTAGCTTGATTCCAATGGAGCACTGTTGGCTGTTTGCCATAACTAAGAAACTGAATTACCAAACAAAACTCAATAAGTATTTAATCTAAAATTAAAATAATTTTAAGCTTAAACAACTGGGGTTAAAATTATTTACACATATACAACTGCTAAAAAATTATGACAGAGAATTTGAGTCCAAATAAGAAATTTTTTATCTAAATTTCAAAATGACATATCTTTATATTGCTTTAAGAGACCAAAACCATCTTTTTTATAAAGATAGCCTAGGATCACCTACTTCAATTGAAAAAAAATTGAATCCAAGAAACTTGGGCAACTCCGGGAGTTAATGAAAGCGCAATCCATGGTAACAGAACAAAAAGTTTGACTGACCATTTTAAAATCAAATAATAACCATCAAAAAATTTAAATATCACTATTTTCTCTACATTTTTGAATTCAGCATCCTCAATAATGGTCAGGTACCAATTTTTCCACTAGATCTTAATTTATTCATTAAAAAGTACTACTACAAAGTCCATAATGGCAAATGTGGAAAAAAAATAGTGTGTTTTAGGCTAAATTTCAAAATGTCATAACTTTTGAACCATTTGGATTTGAGAGATCAAACTTTGAATTTTTTCATGTTACATTGATAGGTACCACTGGATAAAATTTAAAAGAAATCTGAGAGGGTGACTGAAAAAATTCAATTTTTTGTCCAAGTTTTACATGGAATTACCCAATAACTCTGAATGATATTTAGTATATAATAAATAAATAAGGCAATATTTATCTTTTAATGATTCTGCAGATGGCAGATGTGTATTTCATGCACCCCCACCCCTTTAGTAAGTTTGTAAAAAAGTCTTATATGAAATGGATATTTTGGAAAACCATATCCTATAAATTTGACCTTTAGGGTTAGGCTCAGGGTTTGGCTTTTAATAGAATAAACTTTTATTGTTATGTTTAGTATTAGAGAATGGTTTTCAATAAATGTTGTGCGTAAAATGTGACTCATTTTTAACAGTCTTACTAATAGGTGGTGCCTGTAATATGTCTGACAATTGTACAAATGTATTGTATTTTCTTTTTCAAGATTTTTTTGAGTTTAGCAGTAAATAAATTAACTACTATAAACTTTTACAAAATATGTGCAATCTAAATTCTATGATTCTGTTACCTACCTCCTTTATATTTAAAACACTACTATATGCTAATTTTTGCTTCTTAAAAGCTATGTACTGTTGTTGTAAGGTATAATTAGAAAAAGTTTACTTACACTTGGAGTATTTAAACCTTTTGATGAAGGTGAATCAAGACCAATATCAAAACCAATTTTTTCTTTAGCTTTAAAAACACTAAATGCTGATACTTTGTTGTTATTCATTTATCATGTAACCTTTGAAATTAAAAATTATATAAGCATATTTACCAGTCAGAACTTAATTGAACAAATATACATAAGCTTATCAAAAATATTTACTTATACAAATTTGTATAATTATTATACAAACTTGTATTATAAAACACCATTATTGTAATACACCAGCCTGACTCTGACGGATTTTTTATTTTTTTTTACTGTTATATTTAAATAGCTGCCATCTCAATATAATTAATTTAATATAAGTAATAAGATAATATAATTAACTTTTTCAATGTTATTCAAATACAAGAACTGGTACTTTATTTAATTCTATGTAATTCCTTAATTCTAAGTAAATACTGATTTTAAACTTTTAGTATTGATATCGTAAACTAGTGTCTACAATTAAGAATAGTTACAAACAGATATCATATTAATAAATAGTTAGTAGTTTAAAGTTGTAATTTGTAATCATTAAATATTTAATTAAAAGTAAATGTAGATAAAAATATTATTATTATTATTTAAAGTATTACGCATTTTAGTAGCACGTGGGCGTTAAAGTTTTGTATAACGGAAGTGCGAACAGAATTGCGATAAGGATTAAAGTGAATCTGCTGTGCAGCGTTTTTATCGCGCATACAAACTTGTAGACCCGATCAAGATACTGTTGTTTGTTTGTTTGTTTTTTATTCATATATTTTTGCCGTACATATAACATTTACAAGTCTCGTAAATTAAAGTAATATTTACAAGTCTCGTGAGTCAAAATATATAGTGAAATTTATAATTAAATAGTACAGGCCGGACTTCAAGAAGATCGTAATGATCTTATCACGAAGCCCTTACAATGTGTTTGATATATATTAGGGGTCGTCCATTAATTACGTCACGTTATAAGGGGTGGGGGATTGGTGGTTTTGTGACGACTCATTCAAAACTCGCTTCTTAAGTGTTACGATTTTGTGACGAGGGGGGGAGTGACGTAATTTATGGACGACCCCTCATGGTTATGTTAAATATAATTATATATTAAGTACAACTATATTTTTATAATCTTTAAATTAAGCTCATAATAAAAAATAAACTCAAAATAAGCTTAGTATAAAAAATTAGACATAATAAGCAGCATAATAACTAAAATTGATAAGAAAAAATCAATTGTTTTTTTTGTGAGTAATAAACAATTTTTGATATGTTGTTTGAGAAAGGTAAGAGTCATTTAGATAAAACACATAAACGAGTCAGTTCACTTTGTAGTTGATATATATGTATTTTAATTTATAGTCTTAGAAGAATTCTGAGTATCTGTTTAGATTCAGTATCAGATTTTTTACAAGGAATTTTGATTATCTAGATTGCCAATTGATTTATTTTTAGTTACTAGTTTTTTGTATAAATAAGGACCCCGATATGAAATTGAGAACTGGGAAAGTTTTGTTTTTTTGAAAGGTGTAATAAAATTTCCTGTTTCTCTTGTGTTATATTTATTAACGTTATTTATAAAAAAGTTATTTAAAAATGGTTTGGTACTTGACCTAATTTAAATTTTAGCATAAATATTATATTTTGGTAAATGTTAATTTGATAAATATTAAGCACATTCATTTCTTTAAATAAGGGTTCAGCGTGTTTAAATTTGTCTTTATGGTAGATTAGTCTTACAGCATGTTTCTGACGTCGATATAAAGTTTTCAATTTGGTTATATGCGTACTCGCCCTAACTATATTCGCATATATGAGGTAGCTATGTATAAAAGAGAAATATATAAGTTTTAAATTACTTTGCGACAGCATAGGATTTGCTTTATATGTTTTTTGATATTTTAGTGTTTAAAGCATTAATGTGAGCTTTCCAAGATAAATTTTCATCAATTATAACTCCTAAAAATTTAGTTTCGTGAGTTCTCTTACTTACTATATTTTTATTATAAAAAAAACTACTTTTTTGATACAAGCCACCTAAACAACAATCAAACAAACAAAGAAACACACTACCAAATATTCTACCCTCACTAAAAATAGAAAATATAGTAATTGATATTATATATCAAATATATATATTAAAAAAAACTACTTTTTTGATACAAGCCACCTAAACAACAATCAAACAAACAAAAAAACACACTACCAAATATTTTGCCCTCGCTAAAAATAGAAAATATATTAATTGAGAGATTATATATATATATATATATATATATATATATATATATATATATATATATATATATATATATATATATATATATATATATATATATATATATATATATATATATATATATATATATATATATATATATATATATCATTTGATGCAAAATTTATAATTTCTTCAGAAAATATATACCTACTGCATAAAATACTTACCAACATTACCTAGGATGACACAAATTTGTTTTTGTCTCATAAAGATATTAATATGCTTTTTCTGTAATACAAATTATAATTATAAGACCCGGGCAAAAAAAAAAGACAAAACTTGTTTTATAACTACACCCCGTAAACTGTGACGCGCTTTCATTGTGTCTTACAAATATAAAAAAGTAAAATCAAAACTACTGTGTACCATTTAAAAATTCATTAAATTTTAAGTTTTATAATATAATCTCTCAGCGTTAAAAAGTTTTGACCTTACAAAGTTTGAGCATCCTTAATTTGAGTGGGTTACAAATTTTTATCTAATTAGATTGTTTAAAAACTTAAAGTAAAAATTAAATTTAAGGTCGAAAAAAAGTCTTAGAAAGAATTTAATTCATTAAAATCAATAAGATGTTTGTTTTTTCACTTTTTATTTAAATAGAAAAAAAGAAAACGATTTTTAGGTCATTGTTTAATAAAGTATTGCATAATTTAGGACCTTTAGTGGCAATAGAGAATTTGGTAACTATGTAATGTATTTTAATGATGCTTATAGTTGTATTTTGGAAAGCTTTTAGGGTGTGTGCGAATAATTTTACTTCAAAGTATATTAAATATAATACAGCAGGTCCAGCATCCAATAGTAGAGGTTATAAACATCATGCTAAATTAGAGTTTGTTAAAAATTGTTTAAGTAGACAACACTTCTTTACAAACAGGGTTGTCTTTGGATGAAATAATTTACCGGGATCGGTAGTGGAGTCTACAGACTTAAGCTTATTAACTTGCAGATAATATTGAACAAGAAAAACAGGTTCCAGTTAAATTTTTAGACAACTATTGTGTTGACTGTCATAGATATTGCCTGGCGCTCTATCTCAACAGCATTTGAATTATTATTATTATTTTTATTATTATTATTATAATTGTTTTTTTTTTCTCTAAAGTTTGAAGATAAAAATAAAAATTTGATAAATATTTAGCTAAACTTTGTATTATTTTGATTTATTATTATTATTATTATTATTATATCATTGAGGATTTTACTATTTTTAAATAGATCTTTAGAATCTACAGTTTTCATACTTTACTTACATAGAGCTGCAGTAAGTGAAATTTGCATTAAAGTAAACTGCAGCCGTTGCGCAGTGGTTAGAGCGCTTGCTTTAGAAGCAAGAAATACAGGGTTCAAAGCAAACTCTGAAAAATTAGATTTTTAAACAGTTTTGATTTAGTAATTGTTTGGCTTTGTAAAAAAAGCCAAAATTTTAGAAACTTTATCAAAAAGTTAGCCAAAAGTTAAATTTTGCAAGAGCGCAGAAGCTCAACAAACATGTGGTCAAAGATTATTTTGTAAAACTGAAATAAATAATGGAGATGTTGGCTCTGCAAGCATCCAGCCATTTGAATGAAAATATTGTAGATTTTGCAGATAAACAAGACATCGTTCTGTACTTCATTTCAAGTAACACCACTCACGAGCTGCAGCTCATGCAGATTTGTCTTGCATGTTGCATGTTGCATGCAGGCTTGCATGTTGCATGCAGGCTATTTTCAGAGCTTTTGAGCAATATTGGGATCAAGAGCTTAATTTCAATATTTTTTTTCATTTTATCATAACAATTTCTTTAAAGGATATTGTTTTTATGGAGAATTTATACTTGTTTTGTTCTATTTTTATGAGAAAATAATAAAGAGAATACTTGATTCATTTTTTTTTAATTATTATCATTATTTTTTTTTTTTTGAGTAATATGTTTATCGTAGATTAAAATTTTTGTGTTTTTTTTTTTTTTTTTTTTTTGTAAAAAGAAGCTAACTCTATTAATAACAAGTTTTTAATGGGGTTAAAAACTGACTTTTAACTATGATAACAGGAAAAAGCAAGTTTTTTACTTTTCCATAACAAAACTTGGTTTATTCCGTTGCTATGTAGCTATAGATAATAGTTATACCACATAATAAAAACTTTATAAATATCTACACATATGATAACTGCTACTCTAAAACTGTTTTTGGTAAATTAGAGGACTCAGTGTTTCACGGATTTTCTAACCATGTTCTAACCATGTTTACTATTTCTCTATGTTACTAACTTTTATTTTATCGCTTTGATCGATGAGTAGAATAATGGGAAATGAAATAGAAATAAAGATAATGGAAATAAACTATAGTAAGTATACTAAGAAACAATTTTTCAGATGAAACTAACACCAATCAACAAACGTTGCTGCTAAAAAAACTCAAGTATTAAATCATCTGTAAATGTTGCAAATAATGAACATATTTTAACATATCGCGGAGCTCTTCTGTGGAACAAAATAGTTTTGAAAAATTTTGATTTTTCCCAAAGTTGTAGTTTTCTTACTTTTAAAATTAAGTTGAAAAAAGTTATCTTGGCAATTGATAATATCTTTGAGTTCTTTTCAGTTTATACCTTTTAAAAAAGTGTGTGGTTCCTGAATATATTGTTTTATTTTGAAATATTTAGTTTTATATATATTCTTTATGTTGTTAAACGTTATTTTATGTTATTTTATTTATGACGCTTAAAAAAGGTTTATCATACTGTTTACTTATTTTGTTTCAATCTTGATACTGGGAGCAGAAGTTTTGCTATTTTTGTTTCTGACTTGGTACTAGGAGTAGAACTTTTGATGTTAATTTAA